AAGACGCACTATTTTATTGCTTATTTCTACATAGCTAGCTACCATAAAACTTACTAATTTAATATGCATTTGCTACCAAACAATTTCTGAGCATAAGGAATTTGGGCACAGCTGAGGTAGGGGGAGCTTCTATTTTAGGAACTCTTGAGAAATTAATTTGTGACAGCCAAGAGTCCCCCATGGAGCTACAATCAAGGTGTCAGCCTAAGCCAATATCATCTAAACATTCAACTGAGGCAAGACTCATTTCCAAGCTTATTTGGTTGCTTGGATAAGCCAGTTTCTCACCACAGTGATACCTCACTACAATGTGGTTGTTCATAGGAGGCTGCTCACAGTACCTCCCACATCACAGTAATCCAGGTATTATGGGCTTCTTTTGTATATTAAGCAAATTGACTTTTTGTCTGTTGTATGTGTTGCAAATATAACTCTCTAACTGGCCATGTGTCTTTTGATTTTGCTGGTGATTTTCCCCATAGAGGGAAAAAGCTGTATCTATCCAACACTGCCACAAAACCTTTGACCTATAATTTGTTCTGCTTACAAGATGTGCTGGGGTACAGGTGGGACAGAAATTGTGGGAGTAATCAACCAATGACTGGTCCAGTTTGAGACTCGTGCTATGAGAGGGACCCCATCCCTGACACTGCTTGGAGGGCCCGGAACCAGAGGCAGGAGAGCCCGGAGACCTGGGATAGAACCAGACAAAAAAAATAGACTCATAGACTAGAGCCTAGCATAATCATCACTAGAGAGGCTTCAGCTAGCAACTAATAGAAACAGATGCAGAGAGCCACAGCCAAACATTCAGTCATTCTGCAGAAGGAGGCATAGTTAGAGCCAATGGGGTCATAGACACCACAAGAAAACCAACAGAATCAGCTGACTGGGCTCATAAGGGCTCACAGAGATGGAACCAATAATCAAGAAGCCTGTATGAGTCTGACCTAGGCCCTAGGCACATGTGTCATGGTGGTGAATATTGGTTGAAATATTAAGGCAACTCCACGTAGTTAAAGGGAGGTTTATTGGGTGGGGTAACTTACAAGTAAAGGGATAAGTTACAGGGTCTGGGAAAGGTGAAGTGTAGTCCAGCGGTGTTCTCTGGAGAACTCTGCTCTGTCTGACTCCAGCATCCTGGATCCAGGAAACAAGAGAGCCAGCACATCTGAATCTCAGGTCTTAAGGGCTCCTGTCTCAACCCTGCCTCATAGGCATGACAGTTACTGGAAGCTTCAATGAGGGTAGTACTTCCAGGTCAAAGCCGGAACAGCTACCCACTACAGGTGTAGCTTGGTGTTATTGTGGGACTCCTAAGAGTGGGAACAGGAGCTGTCTCTGACTCTTTTGCCTGAGTTTGGGGATACTTTTCCTCCTACTGGGTTGCCTAGTCCAGCCTTAATATGAAGGAAGGCAGCTAGTCTTATTGCAAGTTAATATGCCATGTTTGGTTGATATCCCTAGGAGGCCTGTCCTTTTCTAAAGGGAAACTGGAGGAGAAGAGAATAGGGGGAGAGAGAAGGTGGGGGAGGGAAGTGATTGGGAGGGAAAGAGAGAAGGGAAACTACAGTTGGGGTGTAATATATGAGAGAAGAATAAATTAAAAAAATAAAAGCTATGTCTAGTCAAATTTGTCAATCTTTAATTCCTTACTCTTAAATTTTGAGTCCTAAACAGAAAGCCCTCCCATACCAAACTTCTAGGTAAATATCTATGAGTTGTATTCTGGTTTCACTTTTTGCATTTATATCATTGGCAGCTTATCTGACTGTGTGGTAGATGGATCTAATTGTATGTTTTATGTTTTTAATAGCCAATGTTAACACTGCTTAATTTTTTTAAAGTCCATCTTTTCCCAAAGAATTAGGTTGCTATAAAAATTAAAAACTAAATTTCAATGCATACTTGGATCTCTCCTGAAACTTCCAAGTGGTGCCATTCAAGCAGCTAACTACGTGAGTTCTGTGCTTATTCAATCATGAAGGCTTTGATATTTTAGAATTTAATAGTTGTTATTTCCTGATTTTTCCATATTATGTTTTATCATCAATTTGTCTAACTCCTGAAAGATAGGAGAATTACTGTCCATGTCATTGACCTCATATTGAATGTCCACGTCATTGACCTCATGATGAATTGCCTTACTAAAATAGTGAGAACTAGCCACCCTGGTAATGTCTTATCTAAAGAGAGAATGTCATTTAAATTCTTCAGGTTTGCAAACTTTTTGTCATGGAGTCCTTTCATAATATTATTCTCAATATTCTTAGTATTATCCTCACTTTCTATTTTGTGCTGCCTTTGGGACACTCCATCCACTCACTATTCTAACAAAATAACCCATCCACTATTGACTTTTGCATCGTAGTTTCAAACTTTATTATAATATATAACTATATTCAAAACCACATAGGCACAGTAGTATGCCCGCCTATAATCTATGCCAATCGGAATCGGAAAGATTGTAAATTCATCCAACACTTACAACTAATCTGAATTCTAAAGTTTCTAATTCTTCAAAAAGTCCTAGTTACACAATTCGTTACCGTTAGCTTTAAGGGTGAAGAAAATGTAATGCATAAAGTATATTGTGAAATCCCCTGACTGAATTATAAATGATGAAAACAAGGGTGTAATACACATCTTAGATCAGTTTTCATGAAAGCTGAATTGCTACTTGAAGTGACCAATATTTTTTAAACAAAACAACAGAATAAAACTTTACCTGCCTTAGAGAGTGTGATGCCAGATTGACTACTATATCAGAAATAATATTGAAATAAATAAAGTACATGCACTGCAGAGTGCACAAACAGATGGATAATACTGATCGGTGCTGGGCCATTTATCCATTAGAGTAATGAATGCCACCTCATACTCACTTGGTCAGGAAGAAAAATCTAAGTAGATTCTGTCCACTAGCATTAATATTTCTTTCTGATGGATGAAATCAAATCATGAAAGCAAGCAACTTTTAATGATGTTTTCCCCTTTAACTACTAAATCTACGTTCTGACAGGAAATGAAATGATAACAAATAATATCAGAATCAAGTTCTGTAATCTCTGAAGCTTAAATGAACAGGAAGACCCACATAGGCAATGTGCTTGAAGCCTCCCATAGTTAAAATGAAATCACCTCCAAGTTATTTTTAGTCCCAATGCATAAGCCAAAGAACACTAAATACAAATCAATTAAGTTGTCACAGAACCTCTCCAACTCTGTCCCTATAATGTGAAAACTATGTAAAACTGCTGAGGTTAAAATTACAGCACCATTTTAGAATGTAATTTTTTAATGCAGACTAAAAGAAAAAGTTTTAGATGAAGTTAATGTCCTTGAGATCTTTATGTAAACAGGGTTCAGATGTGGTAATGAGAAAGAACTCACTAAATTTACATAGAATTATAGTTCATTTTCTTCACACGGAAAAGCCCAATCATAAAGACTTTCCCCTTTGCCTAATTCCACATGCAACTGCCACTTTTATATTCAACAGTCAACCCCAAGGCATTTGATTCCATCTCGCTATAGAGAATTTAATCCCGACATTTTCATTTATTTTCCTCTGTAGTAAATAACTACAAGGATGGAATAATTTTGCCTCACCTTTTTCTCTCAAGGATACTTTGGGGGGATAGCAACAGATAAAGCTTCGACATTTGTTGAACTTGGCCACAACATGATTGAACTTCACTGAAATCTCTTCATCTCATTTTTATGATGAGATAACTAGTTTACCACAATTTAAAATTCATTCTTGCGACTTCTGACATTTTGTATTTCTAGGGTGGTGTAGTATATAGTTTGCTTGTTTGTTTTTTGTTTGTTTGTTTGAACAGACCACCACCTTAAAAGAGTTGTTATTTCAAAGTAAAAATAGATTTTATAAAGTTAAGAAAATAAACCAAACTTTTAAAACTGAGAACAAAGGATGCTGAAAATATAAGGTGTGGATTAGAATAGGGCATCAGTGGCCCACAACCACCCCTAACTCCAGCTCCATGGGAATTCCATGCCTCTGATCCCCATAGGTATCTACACTCATGTGCACATGCACACACACACACACACACACACACACACACACACACACACACACTCACACGCACGCACTCACGCATGCACGCATGCATAATTAAAAATTAAATAAATATTTTTTAAACTAAGAAAAATGTAGTAGCCCTGGTACAGAAGAAAGTTTCCCATCTGTTCTCTTTTTCAGTCAGACCAACCTACCAGCATGAGAGACCTGTCATTCAGAAACTTTAAACAAGATTTCTTTCCCCTCATAATCAGAAGCCTGCACAACCATCAAAAACATATCTGACAAGACAGGCCTCTTGTCATTTACTGCTGTTTACTCTTGAGTGCATTTCACAGCTTGAATAGTCTTTGTTTTACCAACTGTAGCCCACAAAATCCTCACTTGTCAACCCGCATAGACAATAACTCAGATTGCTCCTTTACAATTTAAGATTATAGAGCGCTAGCAATCCCTTCATCCAAGGGACCTAAGCAATGCCAGTTTAACCTCTGATTTTGACATTTTAAAGTATCCAGGCAAAATGGCACCATAAATATCAATAAAAATTCCTAGATAACATAAAAAAGTAAGAATCAAAAACTGGTTAGCATGAAGGTCATGCAGAAAGGTGTAGAACTAACCAGCTGTCCAGTTCATCAGTGCATGTTTGCATGTTACAGCTTACAGTTCAAGAATAACCATCTTACTTCAAATACAGAGTTTAAGTGAATTGATAAAAACGATAAGATTGTTTCAAAACAGCTCAACAATATACAACCAGAATTTCCAATATATCACCATTTCTTTAAGGGGGAAATCTTCGCTATTTATAGCCAAGCCCACAAAGTAAACACATCTGTCACTGACTCACAGTAATTAAGGTAAATAAGTAACTAAAGTGTTGCTATCTCTTGATTACATTTTACCAGAGTCACTTCAGTTTTAATGTATTGATACAGCAGTCACTTACCTATTCCTGTCCCAAGAGAAGAATGGCATTTCTGGTCATTTTTTCTCCTTTCACTCATTATTATCCTTTCCCCTCATCCCAGGCCATCTTGTGGGCATGGAATCAGGCAGTCCTATAAGCAAACACCTAAGAGATTATGGCATACTCACCAGTACTGCCTGGCTACACACCAGTGACCCAGTATGAGCATCTCCCAAGTGAAATAAAATTCTTTAAATTCTCGGAAATCTATCAAATAGCTTCAAGCAAAGTCCAAACTCAGAAGTTAAAGCAAAATTCTCTGCCCCCTGAGAGCCTTCTGAGTTAGCTGTCAGTTGAAATCTAGCAAACCTCGGCAAATTTTCTTAGTTGCTTAAACAACAGCTATGTTTATTATTGACATGGGGGAACAGATCAGCCATCTTTGGAAACTGGCATCTACATCCTAAACACAAATGCAAGTTTATATCAATAAACAGACCTCTTTATAAAGTAAATTAACAAATGTTTTTATTGATAGTAGTGTCAACTTTTTGACATTATGAGATTTTAAATGATGGAAAGAAAAACATTAACAATCATCTACTTTTATTTAATGCTATAGGATGGTTTACAAAATACTTTCTGTATTCTTTCTTTAAAGATTTATTTTTATTGAATTTTGTAGTTAATTTTTAATATTTATTCTTCAAGAATTTCATCCAGTGTACCTTGATCACAATAATTTGCCCTCCCAACTCCTCCCAGATCCTCCACTACCTCCCTACCCACCCAATCTCATCCTTTATCTCTCTCTTAAAAACTAAAAATAACTTTAGAAAAATTAAAACATGGAGTCCAGCTTGTAGTAGTCAACTATTCTTGGGTATGGGGCCTGCTCTGCAATGTGGTTGATACTAAGACAAACTGGTACCAGGAGAGTGGGGTATTGCTGTGACAGACTTGAACATGTGTTTTCAGGAGGATTATGGAAGGACTTTTGGAACTTTGTACTAGAAAAGCCATTGAATGTTGAGAGTTCAGTAGACTGTTCTATAGGCACTTGGAGGATAAGAATATTGAGGGTAATATAGACAATGGATGCCTGGCTTATGAAGTTTCAGAAGTAAGGAAAGACTACAGGGCCTTTTATGTGAAAAATCTGTGGTTCTGGTCAGTTGGTGCCGAAGAATCAGCCATCATTAACATGAGATCAGAACACTCAAGTGCTTTACTGAGACAATCAATGCTGCTTAGCTAGGGGTAAGAAATTAGCAGTGATTAAGAAGAGACCAGTGTCAGTAAAATTAAGTCTTCTAAGAAGTGTTTCCTGAGAGTCAGCACACAGAAGCTGTGTTCTAGAAGTGGCCTAGGTTGTACCTTGTGCTGATAGCCAAACTTGGTACTGTGTAAGTCTCTTCAGGGGTATTGGTTTTGAAGGAGTGAAGGAATCATGGAGGAGAGTTGAGTCTTGGCAGTGTGAAAGGATAGAAGAGGTCATTGGTAAAAGTGTAGTCTCAGTAGCAGTTGGAGGCCTAAGATTTAAGGGGTCATGCAGAGAAGCTGAGGCTTGGCACCCTGAAGAGAGCCTATGAGACGCTATTGGTTAAAGTGCAGCCCAATTGCAGCAAAAGACCCCAGCATTTTGGAGATGCAGGTACCATGGTATGACCACCAAGAGCAGCAGGAGCAGTTGAGTAGAACAAGCTGCAGCCTAGAAGACATGCTGTGTATGCTGCAAGGGTGAATCCAGACGTGACCCAAGCCCTTTGGAGGAGCCCAGAAGATTATGAGTAAATCCCAGATATTGAATACTGAGTTATTTACAGTTGTACTTTTGTTTTGCTTTGTTCGGGTTGTGACTGTGCCCTGGTTCTTCCCTCTAGAAATAAGAAAGAAGTTAGCTTATTTATTATTTTACAGGAGCCCACAGTTGAGAGATTATAAAACCGATTTTAGGTTTTAAAAGAGACTTTGGATTTTTAAAGAGACTGAATTTTTTTTTTTTTTTTTTTTG